GGTGTGCGCCTGCACGCGCGCTCCGCGGGCGCGGCGTGAGGGAGCGTGTGGGTGGGTGCACCCCTTGCCAAAGGGTGTAAGCATGATAGGCAATTGGCACCGCCGAGGACTTGCAAAGTAGTCAGCACCGGAGAGAATGGGATGAGCAATCTTTTTCTTTTTCTTTTTTTGCGTTACTGGGGATTGAACACAGGCTCTTCGCACTGAGCTACATTCCCAGCCCCTTTTTATTCTGAGACAGGGTTTTGATAAATCAGTAAATTGTCAAGGCTAAACTCAAGCTTGTCTTTCTGCCTCAGCTCCCCAGAATGCTGGGATTACAGACATGTGACACCACACTCGGCTGACAAAAACCTTTTTTTTTTTTTTTTTTTTTTTTTGCGACAACCTCTGGCTATGTAGTCGTCCACTGGCCTTCGACTCTCAGTGAGTTGAGATAAACCTTCTGGTGGCAGGATAAACTGATTCACAGACATCGTTCACCACAACTTTATATATAATACTTTAATATAGTAAAACAATTATAAATGATGACAGATTATGAGACAGCTATATCATAATCTCTCAAATATATTTTCAATATATATTGCATATATACATCTATGTATAGATGCTGTTTACATACTGCTACAACACTAAAGAAAACTAGTGCAATGGATGGATGAGTAGTTTTGTGGTAGACTGCTTGTGTGGCATGAGACATGCCCTGGGTTCTGGCCCTAGCACTTTGGGAAAAAAGTGTATATACACTATGTAGTTGAGGCTGACCTGGAACTCACTGTGTAGCCCAGGCTGATCTCGAACTCACAGTGATCCTCCTGCCTCAGCCTCCAGAGTGCTACGATTACAGGCTTCCACCACCACTCCCGGCTAAAAGTATATTTCTTTTTGTATCAGGGATCAAACTCAGGTTGTTGTGCTTGCAAGGCAGGCGGTGGAACCACTGAGCTAAACCCCCAGCCCAAAGTATATTTCTTAAGAAGCACTTCTAATCATATTGTTTTCCACACCAGGGATTGAACTCAGGACCTTATGCTTACAAGGCAGCACAGTGCCACTGAGCTAAATCCCTGGCTGATTTCTAATCATATTGGAGTATGTTCATACTATGTTGCTGATTACATATAAGGATGTAAAAATACCTTTCTGCGATCTCAACAATGTAAAACTACATAATGGAAGAGAAGGAAAATATTAGGCTGAGATCCTGCTTCTGGAGTTTACTGACACCAGGTAACCACTGGTAATTTAATTCATTCTATGAGCTTCAATGTCCTCATCTGCAAAATGAGGATATTTGTTTTGGCAGATTGTTTAGTGATGCATTGAGATGATCAGTTCACATAAGTACATAGTGCCTTGCAATAGGCAAATAGAAAGTTGCAATCATTTCATTTATACCCAGGCTACTTTGGGATCCAGAGCTGTCTGTGATTGTTTTGTGAATGTGCTCTTCTGACCTAAATTCCCATATCTCACTAGCGTAATCTTTATCTTCACCAAGATAACATTCTTCCCAATTTCTACACTTGATCTCAATCACAAAGTAACTTCTACCTTGTGATTTCTATTGTTTTATATTTGGTACCAGGGATTGAACTCAGGACCTTGAGCTTGCGAGGCAGGCATGGTGGAGCTGCACTGAATCCCCAGGCCTCCCACTGGTTTCTAAAGATGCCCTGTTCTCACAATTTTTCCTTCTACTCAACTGTCCCTTTCAAAATATTACCTAGTGATCCCACTCCTATATGTAAACCTAAGAGTGTGAAAACAGGTACACACACACACACATGAGTACAAATATTCATAGCTGCTTTATAACAGCAAATAAGCAAATATCTGTCCACTGACTGGTGGATAAATAAGAAGCGATACAGCCACACAATGGAGTATTATTTACTAATGAAAAAGAATGGAAATGGCATGGTCCCAGCACTCTGGAAATCTGAGTTAGGGTCACAAGGTCAAGTTCTACCTGGGGAAAATAATGTCTCACAATAAAAAACAAAAGGGAAGTATGGGCACCAGGGATTTAGCTCCGTTGTACCGTGCCTGCCTTGCAAGCACAGGATTCTAAATTCAATCCCCGCTACCAAAAAAAAAAAAAAAAAAAAGTGGGGGAGGGTGGGGGGCAGCGTGAAGGCCCTGGGTTTCCATGTATGTTAAAAAAAAAAAAGTATTGGCATGTGCTACAATGTAAATGAACCCTGAAAATAGACTAAGTGAAAGAGCCAGTTGCAAAGGACCACATATCACATATGTCTATCTCCATAACATTTCCAGAATAGGAAATGTTATGGAGACAGAAAGCAGATTGTTTGCTGCCCAGATCTGGGAAGGAGGGTGGACAGAGATACAGATAAGGCATACAGGGATGGGGGTCGTAAAACACTTAAAAACTGTGATGGTAGTGAGTAACCTATAAACATGCTAAAAGCCATTAAATCATGGGACTTAAGTGGGTGAATTACATAGCATAAAACATATCTGAAAAAACATGTAGCCACACTGAAGTCAGCCACTCAGATCCTGAGATTGTCATCTGCCTTAGATAAACGTATTTTCTGAGACAAATTGTTATGCAACCCGTCCCACATACCTGTCCATTCACACAACACCTGGCATGGCGGTATTAAAACAGGAGGTCAGAGCAGAAACTGTCCTTATAACCGTGGGCCTGGAAGGCTTTCACATGCCTGACTTTTGGCAACATGGAAGGGAGGACAGGAAGCCAGCACCTGCTCATGTCCCAGCAGGGCTCCACCCAGCTCTCTGGGCCCAGAGAAGAGGCAAGGGCCCTCCCAAGCTGTGGGCTCTGCCCTGTCCGAGGGTCAAAGCTGAGTTCCGGGCAGAAGAGAGCCCAGAGAGATGATACAAATGGACGCCCCTTCCTCTTGGCCCAGTGCCAGGTCCCCGGCTAATCTGCCCTCCTGCAGCCTGTATGGGCACCACTGGCTTCCAGAGGAGATGGGGCAGAGAGAGCCATGACGCCTTTACTGTCACGAGCATTGAGTTCTCTCATTCAACACGTGTTTATGGAACAGCCAGGGGCCCAGGCTCCAGTAAGAGATGATGTCCCGGGTGCTTTCCTGGGGCACGTCCCATCATGGAGGGGATCTCTATGTTTCCAACCGCTAGAGCTCAGCACAGAGCACTGAGGACTCCAGAGGGGAGACACGGGTCAAACCAGCCTGGGAGAAGCATGGAGGACTTCCTGGAGGAGCTGATGATGTGAAATCTCAAGGGGACACTGAGGTTAGGTTTGGAGAAAAGCATGTGACACCTCAGAGGCTCCCTGAAGGGACAGAAACTGTCTAGGGTGGTGTTTCAGTGATCAGGAGCGCCACACTCGTCTCCTCTGTGACCCCAGGCTAGGGAGGGTATTGCGGATCTTTTGCTAGATCCAGAAGAGACCAATGCGCTGGTCCCATCAGGCTCCCCAAGGTGATCAGACAAGTGCTGTCACCTTTATGCCCTTTTCCCCCTGCTTCTCCCTGTTGCACACAGAACTGAAGCGTGTGGGTGGTGCATGGGTACAAGCATGCACGTGTGTGCACAGGCCTATTTGCAGGCACAGGATATGAAATAGGGGAGCCGCCTCTACCAGGCTATGACTGGGACCTGGGGACAGCTCTGCAGATCAGAGTCAGTGTGACTGGGCCATCTAATATTTCAGGGACTGGGGGTGAGGCAGGGGCTGACAGCCTAAGCAGGTGAGACCTGAAGACAAAGGTCTCAGGACAGGCCTAGGGCTGGAGGTTTCTGAAGTGGCCTGAC